GCTCATTCCATTAAACCTTTTTTTTTTTTTTTTTTTTTGGCACCAGGGATCAAACTCACAACTGCGTGCTTGCCAGGCAGATGCTTATGCCGCTGAGCTAAATCTCCAGCCCCTGTAAGCCTTTTTATAAGGGCACCAATCTATTCCAGAGGAGTGAGCCCTCATAAACAGCATTTCCCCAAGGTTCTCACTTACTACTACTGTTGCATTGGGGATTAAGTCTCCAGAGATATATTTTCACACAGTTATTAGTCTTGTTTAGAAAAAGATTGCTTTAGTTTTGGTTTTGTTTTTTTGAGAGAGTTTTGGTACCTAGTCCGGGCCGGCCTTGAACTCATTATGTAGCTCAGGCTGGCCTTGAGCTTGCAGCAATACTCCTGCCTCAGCCTGAAATCCCAGTGCTAGGATTACAGGCATGTGCCACCATGTCAAGAAGAGATTGCTTTTAAAATTCCCTTGCACCTTGATTCTGTGGGGTGTGAGATATTATGGGGTCATTTCCCGAGGAGAAACTACTTGCCCTGACCTTGGTGAGAGACTATGATAATGAACCACTGAAACTTAGGGGATAATTGGAAAGCTTTTATTTTCCCAAGGAGATGGATGATGAGGAAAATAATAGACGCTTTGAATTGTAAGTTGTAGTGAACTAAAAAAATAATTTAGAAGCAAAGTATTAGACAAAGAAGGTCATTTAAGAGATGGGGATGGTGGTCAGAGCTGGGTGCTTGAATCAAGGACTATACTTGTCAGCCAAATGTATGTCCATAGGAGTGGGTAGCTGACGTGAGAAAAAGGAAAAACATCTTCAGAATTGAACAAGAAAATAAGTGGCTTTGTCATTGGTTTGACCGTACATTAAGAACAGGCATGCTAGCTAGCACCCCTGTAATCCTGGCACTTGGGAGGCTGAGGCAAGAGGATCATTGTGAGTTCAAGCCTGGGCTACATAGTGAGTTTAAGAGCCTGGGCTACATAGTGAGTTTAAGATGGAATTACAAAGTGAAACCCTGTTTCAAAAAGAAAAAAAAAAAAAAAGAATGGTTGACAGGAGTAGAGCTAAATACAAAGATAGAAAGCCAAGTGCTAGGTGCTAAAATCATCAATGAATGGGGGAAGACTTGGAGGTCAATGGGCTAGCAGTATTTGGAGTCATATCTAAAAGCATAAGCTACAAAGGATCCAAGTTTTTCAAGGGGCAGGACAGCAATTTACCAGCTGTAATAAGCAAGGAGAATACTGATCTTACCCCTTATCATCAAGTCAAGAGCAATAGTCAAGAGAAGATGAGGATTGTCATGGCAAGTAGTGTGAGCCTTAAGTGGAGGAAAAGTTCAGAAGAGTGATAATGAGTCTCAGAGAGATAAGGGAGAATTCATGCAATTGGAGAGGAGTGGGAGAGGAAGCCATCTTCATGGATAAATTGGTGTGGTGTATTGAAAATGATGCATCGTCTTCTGGTGCACGGGTCACATGGAGACGTGGAACAGATTGGCATAGCAGCCCTGAGGATCAATGGCATATCAGGAACCAGCTGAAAATAGAAAGTCTGGGTACCCTGACATTCTTTCAGTTTGTCATGGGGGTAGCAGATAAAGAGATGAGCATAAACATCTGCTGAGAGGCCCTTCTTTTAGGCAGTGTGCAGTGAGAAGAAGCTTTCAGAATAGTATCAACAAAAGCTTCAAGAATTCTGTAAACTTGTAGTTTAAAGACTCTGAGGTTCAGTTTATTCATCAATGAAATAATGGGAATAATGATTACTTGGTACAAAGGCTGTGATAGCTTAAAACTTCAGTTCTTTATCCTTATGTATATGAATGCTTTTTGCCTATGACTTTGTAGTGCACTAAACAGGTGGGTTATATTTTCTCATCACTTTAATCTGGGTCTGGCTGTGTGGCTTGATGTGGTCTGAAAAATGTGGCAGATGTGTGCCATTCTAAGTCCAGGACTCAAGAAGCCTTATGGGGTTCCATTCCTTCTGTTTCTGCTTCCTTACAAACATGACGTATTCCATCAAGCTTTCTAGCTCCAGGACAAGAGACACACAGATCACGTTTATTTTGATTAAGATATCCGAGCCAAACCCAGCCTCCAGCAGCATTCTCAGCCAAGAAGCATGAATGAGACTAACCTAGATCAGCCAGCCCAGGTAGACTCACAGACATGTGAATGATGATTGAGACAGAAAGAGTGGTTTGTTACACAGAAACGACTAAAGATCTGGAAAGATACTTCATTGAATCCATGACAGGCTGGGATGGCAAGGGACTAAAAACCGCTTTGTACAGTAAATGGGAAGGAAAGTGGAGACTCATCTTTGCCTCCATTCTAGTTATTTGTTCTGCCATCCTGCTCAGTGGCTCTATGAGGCAGATAAAAGATCTGGCAAGTTAGAAACTGTCAGGAAAACTTGGGATAATTGTGCAACTCACTTCAGTTGACTTCCTCACAGTAACCATGAAATGGAACACATTTTTCAGGGGCCTGGGATCTTGGTTGGTAATGACTCTTTCAAAATCTTCAAGGAGGAAGTTGAAAAATTAGTTGTGGTTCATAGAGCAACTGGTCTTAGAAACAAATTATCCCTTTATTTACTTTATGGGCCACTTATGTGAATTTTGAAGAGTTAAAACTTTTAAATTTAACATCCTAACGTTATTTTTAATTTTTTTTAAATTTTGAGACAAACTCTAAGTTGCCCATTGTGGTGGATTTACTAAATGGTCAACTTGGAACACCCAACTGAACTGAATCAGCATGGCTCTGGGTGTGGAAGGCCCATCTGAGGATTGTTGCCAACAGCATAAAAAGGAGACCTGAAGGGGAAGAAGGAACGCCGTTTATTCTGGAGAAGCTTGTCACGCTGGTTTTGGTTTTCATCATTAAGAGGAGCTCAGGTCCTCGCTGACCTGCAGCCATCTTCGCAGCACTGAGGATGGCTGCAGGTGTCTTCAGGGAGCCCTGGTCCTTACCCTTGAGTGTCACTTTCTGGCTCCAGCAGACTCCCTCAGCCTGCTGGCACAGATTCTTCATCCATCCCATTGGTGCAGTCTTTTAGCTTCCACCACTGACTTTTGGGCCTTTCCAGAGCAGATCCTTGACACAGACTTGCATGAGATATTGTCCTGGGCTCTAGGCCTCCAGCTGGACTCATGGAGGACACTGTTATGGGCTCTAGGTCTTCAGATGGACTCGTGCATGACATTGCCATGGGATCCAGGCTCTCAGCTGGACTCTGTGTGTCTCTAGTGCAGGGATAGATCTATTGCACTCTGAATTTGACTTTTTGGGTGAATATAATGTACTCGTATAATTGTGTTCTGTTTTAAATTTATTCTCTTGTAAGCCCTGACTACAACACCCATGCTGGTCTCAGACTTGTGATTCTCCTACCTCAGCCTCACAAGTAGATGAGGTTTCAGGCATGTGCCACCACACCTCCTCAGAGATCAGATTTTAAGGGCTTTTGGTCTTCTCTTGGCAGTCGCAGAGTGATCTGGGAACTTGAAGAATCAGTCCAACTAACTACTCAGGTTAGACAAAAGGAGAGATACTCAGTGGGCTATGGTCAACAAACTTTAGGAGCAGGAATGTCAAAGTGTCAGTTGTTCTTCTCTGTTTCTGTGCTATAGATTCTTCCATTGATTACTAACCTTTGGTAAACATCTGCCTGCCTGGAATTATTAGTGTAGTGTGTCACAAAATGGAGAGGTGGCTCCCTTCATTAAATAATACATCTAAAATCCTTGCACCAACAGTTGTAAGCATTACGTAAGTTACTGTGTAAATGTTTGTTAACACTATGTGTTGAGAATAGAGGACGCTGTCTAGCATGGGAGAACAGAGAGGCAATTTTTGAAGGTGATCAAAGAGCTGAAAATAATTTGGAAAAAGGCTGGACAAATGACACTGAGGACACCAAGACTGCTGTCATTATTCTTCTCCTCAATTTTCCCTACCCAAATCTGGAACATTGGTGAGCACACCTGGCCCTAGAAAGCAGTTTTATAACAATGTGAAACCTACAGTGAGTTCTCCAAACTTAGGATGGAACAGTAACGGGCAGAAGAAAGTTCTCCAGAATCTCCAATTATAGAAGATAGTGTGTTCTTATTTGGCTATTAACTCTTTTGTGTACTTAATCCAAGTTACTAGCTCCAAATTTGTACTGAGTAGGCTATAAGACTATTCTCTTTAGGACAGAAAACTCTTGACAGCAAAACACTGAACTGATCTGAGTTTTGTCCAAATAAAGATTCATATTTTATGATAAAATGTTCCTTTTTTGCTTAAGGAAAACTTTTAATCTCCATTGCCTTTAATACAAAATACTTTGTTGACAGACTAGTCTTTCTAGAGTAATGCATTATTGGTAGGTAGGATTCTGAAATTGCATCACAGCATTTACTGGATTGCATCCAGTGTTGGGCTGGATGCAAATTCAGCTATAGCTCAGCCTAATCACCCACTTTATCTCTTGATGTGCAGGAGGACGTCCCAGGTCAGGCTGGTTTCCTGCTAACCCAACATACCAGTTTTACCCCTGCTTGACCCTTAGTTCCCTTCTTTCTTTTGCCCCTGAGCCAAAATTTTACCCTCACCTCGAGGTCTCATCTAAAAGCATTTCTCCTGTGAAACTTCTTAAATAGTCTAGTCTACAATGATTATTTTTTTCACAGATGAGTTCATGTTGATATAAGCCATTGGAATTTATAAATTGATTAACAATTACTTGATGAACGTTGACAGTATGCCCGGAACATAAATATTTTCACTTATGCGTATGTACTTCTCTCTGAGAAAATCTTAAGGATTTTACCATTTTCATACTGTATTGGCACAAAGCAGGAATTATATATGATCAGTTTAACTAGAATAATTAAACTTGTCCCTTGTCAGTTTATGATCTCTAGCCATATTAACTGGGTGACACACCCGGTTAATAAACATTTACTCTCCATTATACCCGTCTTCATTAAACATTACATAGTGAGTTTATTTGAAAATTTTATTAACAGCTCATTTTCATAGTTCAAAAAAAGGCATTACAGATTATAATCAGTAGAACAACTGAAACAAAACCTCACCTCTATAGAGATAGCCAGTGTGTAGACTTTATTACGTAGGCACATTGTAACTTTCTAAAACGTAAGTAAACTTGTTTTACATAAAATTAACAATAGTGCAAGAAATGACATAAAATGAAGATGAGCGATGAAGGAAGGAAAACACAAGCCTTGCAGCAGCTGAATCGTTCACTGGCTCTTGGGTTCACCTGATCTCACACACGGAAATTCACTATGGCCATTACAAAAATGCAGGGTGAGGAGTACTGATTCTGATTCATCTCTTGAATATGGCAATGTTTTCTCCAGATTCCATTGGCAAGTGGACAAAAAGGTTAAATGAATGCTGCCTGAGGATCAGGAGAGTTCTTATCAGTCCCTTCCCTCACTCACGACTTTAACACCCTCACACCCAACACACTGTTGAGAGCTGAGTCACCCCCATAAGATACTGCCAGGGTTGCCCATTCTACAGCACATAGCCACAAATGACACGGTGCCGGATTTCAGTTACTGTGTGGCTACCTGGTGTCCACAACTAGAGCTGAGAGTGTGATCCAAGGCAGAACTTGGGAGTGAAATGGAAGGTGCTAGAATTAGTGTTCCATCCTGGTGGAATCCATCCATTACATCTAAGTACAAGAAATCAAAATCATAATTATACGTGTCACCTAAGAGAAGCTGTTTTGTAGCTTGTACATATATGCTTTTAAATTTTTTAATTTATATTTTTGTGTTGCTAAGGGACATCAAGGAGGTCAGGGTTGGGGGACTGTGCCTTTGTCTCATTTGTTTTTGTTATAAATAGTCCCAGGATGTTTACTAAGTAGTTTTCCCTCCTTTAGTCATTTGTGTAAAAGGATGTATCTGTAGGTCAGGGACCATGCTAACATCCTCAGCACCTTGGAGGGTTAGACCTACTGCTGCTTCCCACTGTACCTAAATCCTCACATCCACCTTGGAAGTCTGTCTGTTCTTTACCCACACCATTGTTTTGCTGAGTGATGCCATGGAACATCCAGAGAAGCATTCCAACCAATCTGCACCACCCCTTTTGATCTACCTTTTTAACTGGTGTTTTGAAGGCAAGTGCAAAATAAAGGATCACAGGGTTTTCTTTGTTTCTATCTCCTGGGCAGTTGACATGTAAAGGGACAGGTGAACCAGCTGGGTTTCCCAATCTTCAAAATTTAAATTTCTTGGTTCCTAGTAACATATGAAGTCATACCGACACGGACTATCACTGAAAGTGGCATCAAAGTGTATTTTGTAAAATAACCCATGAAACTGTAGTTGGAAAGAACCCGAGGAAACAGTATCTCTTTCGCTGGAAACTTAAGTTGAACTGGGACTTTACATAAACAATCCTCAGTGTCCTTGAGCTTAGCCTTTGATCCTTTTAGGAAGCCGGCTAACACAGCACCTTGGTAGACATCACAAACATTTGTTAAGCTGAATAACTCTGTTGTTTACCCCTGCTCTGCAATTTTTTTTGCCAATAGTTTCTTACTTTTAGCTTTAAGAAACGGCTTACACTTAAAAAATATTTTGAAGATTGGTGGCCAATGCTGTATTTTTATTTTGGGGGGTTGGGTACCAGGAATTGGACTCATGACCTCATGCTTGCCAGGCAGGCACTGTGCTGCTGAGCTATATCCATAGCCCTTCAATTTCTATTTTTTAGTCTGTTTTTTATATTATATCCAGTTATTACTTGCCTTTTGCCAGGCACTGCCAAATACATTAATATGGAAAGCTTTTGCCTTACAGGCAAGCTTGGAAGTACAAGCTGAGCAACACATTTTTCTTTCTCAATTCTCAAAACAAAGGACTAGATTTTCTGAAGCAGATTTACTCAGGCACAATAGACAAAAAGTAAAAAATCACATCCTTGCTTTAGTTAATATGAGAAATACTGATATACACATTTGTTCTCTATATTTAGGGCTGTCTTACATATTTTCTTCACTTTAATTCCTTAAAAATGCAAATACGAATGACAAAGCCTGTCTCACATACAAAGAGTACAATAAAGAAATGATGATTGGTAGAGAATTGGCACTTGGACTTTGGTAACATGCAGAGAACTTGGTGAGAATGCTGCAATATTACAAGTTGGGGTTGGGTACCAGGAACTGGACTCATGGGCTCATGCTTGCCAAGCAGGAACCGTGCTGCTGAGCTATATCCATAGCCCTTCAATTTCTATTTTTTAGTCTGTTTTTTATATTATATCCAGTAGATCATTGATAGAACGTTCACCTAGCATGCAGAAGGCCCTGGATTCACTTTCCAGTGTCACAAAAAATTAAAAAAGAAAAGAAAAAAAAAAAAAAAAGAGAGAGAAGTTGAAATGATGTCTTACAGATTTGTTTACTAGATGTTTTAAAATTTTTTGTTAGTTTTGTTTGAATTTCCTGTTAGATTGCATTCTTTAGCAAAACTGTAAATATGCTGGGATTAACATAGTAATTCTTAGAAGAGTTAAAATTACCATTCCAACTGGGAGAATTTGTAAAAGTAGGTTGGATGGCATTGCTTCCTACTCACACAAATTTAACAATTTGCAAGGCTTTTAAGGGAAAATTTTTCAGCTCGTTCTGTTTTTTCACTGTTGATTTATAAAACCTAAGTCAGCTGTGAAATCTGACACGATTCAGCCTTCCTAACCTTAGACCTCCATTTATGTGGTGAAAAAAGAAATGTACAGTAACATTAGCTACTGTGGTTAACACTGGGAAAGACAAAGAATTGGTCCACCAACCCTGGGGAGCATTCTATCAAATTCCATTCCACACGCAATTCTCCCACTAACCATTCTCATGTGCAAGGTTCAGGCTCATAGATACGGTTTGACTCTCAGCAACAAAACTGAATCAATGCTGATTATAGGCAGCATCTGTGCTAATTTACCTGTGGACACAAAAAATGTTTCCCAGAATGAATAAGGTACACTGTAGTTCAAGTTCAGCACCGCATGAAGTGCTTAAGTGTTGACATTGGAAGAGGGAATTAAAAAAAAAACAAAATTATTTAAATCCTCCTGGAAATAAGAGCTAATTGCTTGCTTTAATATTTGTTGATATGTAACAGTCCAGTAGTCTCAGAATCTCAGGGTCAGTATTCTTTCAATAAACATATATACTGACTACCAAATAATTTTCCTTTATTTCATGAATATGTTTGCCCTGCCAGGAATGATCGACAGTGGCTGACTTCTATTATATTCCAGGCTTTGGGCAGAGTATTGGAAACACAAGAGTAAGATACATTCCTTGTCTTTATGCATCTCATTTTGTAGAGCATGGGTTTCTAGGGAAATACAGTCATCCAACCACTGGGTTTGAATAGAAATTAGTCTCATTTCAAATAAGAAATATTTGAAGTAGAAAAATATTCTCATGGATCATAAGCCCCATAATAATGCAAAAAGATAGAAAGCAGAGAATAAAAAAACACAATAAAACTCTCCAGATAATATTTAATATGAACAAAGTGCTAACTTTTGATAAGAGCAGGCAGAGGAGGTTTAATGTTCCCCCACAAAACGCCTCACTTCTCTTCTTTGACGTATCATAATGAATTTAATTATTCTCCTTTTTTACTGTAAAGTTGAAGAGCAAGTCCTAGACTTAAAAGTACAGTATAGCTCTTACTATCATATGACATTTGACTTGTATTCGACTAGTACTATTATGTATGGTAAGATGAATTCACTTTTAAGATTTTCACATTATTGATATCACAGAGTAGAACTTTTTGTAACCACAAAAAGTAAAAACCCACATCCTGGATGGCAGTTGCAGATTCTGCACATCAAAAAAGGCTATTTGTCCTGTGATTTTTATGTAGGTTATTAATAAATCACTAAAAATATATTGTATCAGATTTCCTAACCCCTATGTTCCTCATAATTAGTTCCCTAAAAAAAGTATAACCAAAACAAACTTGATGTTATCAAGGTAGTACATTCTTAAAATTTAGTACTAATTTGCTTGCCAAATGCAGATAATACAAAAGGGATTTTGTTTACTTCTTGGTTAACAAACAAACAAATAGAAAAATCAGTTCAGGCGAAAACAAGAAGGCAACGAGAATTAAGGGGGGAAAAGAAGAACCAACAAGTAACACTCATGCGATGCTAGCAGTTGAGGCAGGGTCTAGCCACTGAGCTAACTTGGGTGAGGAAGGCATTGGGATGGCCTTCATTCATACTGCCGATTCCCTGACCCATCTGGACATCCTATGAGAAGTCTTCAGCGTCTCTAGTACAACACGGGAAAGGACATGCTTTGGAATCCCTTGGCAAATCTTTAAAGGACTTCATTGTATTTCAAGCAGCATGAAAACATGAAGAAGAAACACTGCTGGTGCTAGAGTGTCTTATTCTTGTTGATGCCATTAAAAACAAAAAACAAAAAAACAACTCGGTCATCAGCTAGCCAAAATCCAATGTGACAGTCCCTCTCACAGCATGTGGGATAGAGAGTTATTTTAACTTTTGGGCATTTACAAAGACAGGAAATTTTACTGCTTGAGTCTATTCCTCTTTGGAATTCCTAAATCTACTTCCTCTTCCTTTTTTATAGTTTGACAGAAATTTTGAGACAGTTATTATATCACTCCATCCTGCTCTGTACCCCCTTTCCAGTAATATGTTATTCTTTAAGGTTGCTATTCCTGTTCCTTATATAGTAAGACTCTTCATGACCCTTTTTACCTGCCTAGAAACTCAAGAAACTTATTAAGGTTTCTTTTAGAATATTGTATCTGTAATTGAATTCATCTAGATATGTACTGACCAATACATCATATAGAGATCTCTAAACTTGTGTTAACACAGGTTGAATACATGACCTTTGACAGCCATAATATACTTCCAGTTCAAAACTGAACTCCCATTTCCCTAAGAAAACATTCTATGAGTGGCTTTAAAACCAGTTTGTCCCAAAATCCTTCTCATCAACTCACACACACACACACAGAATCTGTACTTGGAGCGGTGCTTTTTAAAAATTCAGAATTTAGGGTTTCTCATTAATGCCTCTCCAGTTCCTCCATTTAGTGTCAGTCTTATGCTTAGAGACTTCAAAAACTGTAATGATTTCTATAACCTAGTGTCAGTAACAGTTATAATTCAATGACTGTTCATTGAATAAATTAACCTTGAATCTGTCAATGAAAAATCTGATGTAGTGTCTACATCTGCATCATCTACAAATCAGGTAAAATATACTTTCTCTCACCTCATTATGTTCATGGTAAAACACCAAGGTACATATAAAGTGAAGAGAAAGAGGACTGAATGTCCCTAATCCTAGAATCAGAATTTAATGTTCACAATATAGGGAAATATTTTCCCTATGATTATCCTAGTTTGCCTTTTTGATTTATTACAATACTATGATTATCAAGCTCTGCACTTAAGAGAACGTATCCAAAGCTTAAAACAGCTTTTAAAATATCCTTTCCACCTTAAATTTCCTAAAATATTTGCAGTACAGAGACATGTAACGGTTTGAGCTACGAGGTACAAAAAGAACTCCCAAATGCCCTTGACAAATGCCTGAGGTATTTGTTTCAAGAATCAGAAGGTGGCCTATATTTTTCGGTATGAATTTGGGAATTCAATGAGACTGAAGATGTCTCTTGAACTGAACATAATCTTACAGTTAATGTCCCTTTTCCTCAAAACTAAGAAAAATAAGCCAAATTTTGCTTTCCTCTCAACAGGATGTGAATCCAATCCATCTGTAGAATGTAGGTCTGATCACAGAATTTTAAAAACCCAGTGGGGCCCTTTCTCATTGTCTAGTGAGATTCAGGATAACCAAGCCTGTGACTGAAACCTAAGAGAAGGGAAAACAAAAATGTTTCGGTCTAAATAATCTATATCCAGGAGAGAAACATCTGGAGAAGTTCTGTTGCATAGCATTAAAGAATAGAGACATCTAAAAAAGGTCTAGTAGACCCAAAGAAAAAATTTGCCTTGACTCTTTTCTGAGTCTTTTCTAGAGGAAGTGACAGAAATGGACTCTTAAGTAACTTTGCAAAACCACATCTTCCAGAAACTCATGGGTGACAGATAAATATCATTAAGAAATCATGCCCACAATGATGTTGGAGGTACTTTTCTAGACTTGTTTACAGTCATAACAAACCACATACTAGTACTCTGATAGAAGCAGAAGTGAGACAAGAAGGCTTAATTATACAGAAAACGCCAAAAATCAGATGAACCACATGCTTCAGGCTCAGTCATGATCAAAAAGCCTCTATTTAGCAACCTCCTCACGAGTTCCCTTTCAAAGACAGGTAACTGCAAACAGGCAGGTCTCTGACAGATTGTTCCCAGCATGGAGAGGCCACAGCAGGTATTGACTTAAACTTCAGCAAGTCAGGAAGACACCCTAGCAGGTATAGGGTTTGTCATTGTACCCCACACTCCTTAGGATTTTCTGTTTCATCTCCTTCGAAGTCTGGTTTCAAACTCTTTTTCTGCTCAATTTCCACCTGCCAAAATAGAAGTGGGGAAAAAATATCAGAAGAAAGAAAAAAGCAGCAGACAGACCAAAAGAGAGCCTCAGGAGGCTTTTTTCGGAGTTTCTGCAATTTCACTAAAATTCTGGGCTTCAGCCACATGAGAGTAGTGGCTGTGAGTGTATCATGACTTTGTACCTGCTCTTCACTGTCTGGGAATTCCCTCTTCCTCATGGTCCATCTGGAAAACTCTTATTCCTTGCCTTGCACAGTTGTTCCAAAGTCTCTCTGTGTATGACCTATTACACTATTCTACTGTACCTGTATGCTGGTCTGGAGCCACTATTCCAGGCTCCATAGGATGGGGCAAAATCTTTACCATTTTATCCAATAACGTAGAAATATAGAAGGCAATTCACAGCGGCTTACCAAATGAGTAAGTGCTTTTGTAACTGTTTATTTAAACCCATCCAAATACCTGTATCTATTTTAGAAGCTTCCAGACTGGTATTTGCAAGTTTATAGTTCTACTATCTTTCTCTAAAACAGTCACTGTTTAGAGAGCAATTCATAAATCAATCCTACCTGCAAAGTAACACACCTCAAGTCAAGCCTTTGATAAATCAGTAAAGAAATCCTTTGCGTACAAGACGTTTATCATCATGGTTGCTCCTCTCAGCATCTAGGTATTTATATTGCTCAATTTAGAGGTAGCAATGGAAGACAAAACAAGGTCCTGTGTGAAAGAAGTGATATTTTTTTCCTGGCCACAAGATGGAGCATTTGTTCTTTTTGGTAGTCAAGTGTTTTGGCTCTCACACAACTAAACAATAAACCATCATATAAATGCAAGGGTATCATTGTAAATAAAAAATTTTTAAATCATTTTTCAAAATCTTTCTTTAGTCCTTTTTTGGGGGGGATACTGTGATTGAATCTAAGACCAACATAAACTACAAATAAGTAAAAATCCAGATTTACCCCATTGCTCTTTTTGTTGTGTCCAGAATGACAAGAGATATCATACTCCTATGTGTATCCAGCCCTTTTATTTTCTTCCAACCTTTCTTTTGTCCACAAGAAAGATTACTCAGAAAACTAGAGCAAACTCATCTATTAGCTATGTGAACTTCCTCCAGAAGAATAAGAGAATATGCTGTACCTATGTTAAGCAATGCTAAAAGGAATAAGCAAGGGAGAGTTGTGGGTGAACAAATGGACTTGGAAATACCAGCCAGATGCCTCCCAAGGGTACCTTGTAGCTGTAATGTGCGGAATAATTGACCCACTTCCTCACGTCAGTCTTGTCTTCCACGGAGATGGATCTTACGGCGGCTTTGGATGCAGAAGTCGTGGGCATGCTGAACTCGACATTCACATGGTTGGCAAAGTTGGAAGGCACTTCCCGGTCAGAGCCAAGTTCAAGGTGGCAAAAGAAACAGTGTGGGTGGCCAGAAGCTGAGAAAGAGAGAAGGAATCCAGAGATCAGTTTCTGTGGGGATGAAGTCAAGAAATAAAAAAGGTACCTCAGTTACAAAGGAGACCTACACACTTGCCACCTGCCAATCTTCAGAAATTCCAGTGCCGAGAAGAGGATTTTCGTCAGCTCTGTGTTTCTTAAATCCTTTGATATGGTATCATTGACTACCACAGCCTGATTTACTAGCAATAAGCCCACAGCCTAAGAAATGGGTCGTTCTCTAGTCAGAGTGATATGGGGACAGGACAACTACTAAGAAAGAGGGCCTATAGATTCCAATCTATAGAACAAAATGAAAGCACTTGGCACCCAATAACACATCAGTGAGAGCCACCTGGAGCAAAATCATTGCTTCCCTTTGACAGATGAATTAAATTTTTAAAATAGCGTTTCCTAGTTTCAGAAGTGCTTCTGGCATGTTTCCATGAATGAATGATAAATGTTCATGACAAACACACTGTAGGCAGCACACACATACAGTCCTGGGAAGCGGGCGATGCACCGGAATCCCAGCTCCACAGTCAGAACACCTGACCTCACCTCCTGCTCTCTCCACACCTCAGCCCTCATCTGTAAAGTGGACAGAGGGTGGGGTGATGGGAGGGTGGGGTGCACAAAGCCTGGCACCGTTCCTGGCCTTAATTCTGCAAGTCTATGGGTAATTCTGTTGTACTTGGGTAGCAAATTTTGGGTTTCTGTTTGAAAATTGTTACTAGATTTCTTTGTCAAAGAAAGAGAGCTTATCTCTGTGAATATGAAGACTGAAGCATCGCTGTCGTTAATCAGACACAGCAAGAAACATTTGTTGAGGGCCATGGGCCTGTGGCACTATGCTAAATGCTTTACACAGATTTTCTAACAGAATCTTCATTACCCTCCCTTTACAGATGAGGAAATGGAGGCTTTTGTAGGCAAAGCTGCAGCTAGAAAGTGCAGAGCTAAGAAGTGAACTCAGCAATCTGGCTGGACTTTGCCTAAGTTATAACCTCACGGTCCCCAAACCTCAAGACCAGGCGGGTAGGATGGCGGCAGCCAGGTGAAGCTGCGGATGCCCCCTTGTAACTGTGGATAAACAACATGAAACTGCTCTGGCATAATTCTGTAACTGAACGGTCCTTTAGTAACCCTAGTTTCCCCAAGTAAACAATTCCAGTTTTCTTGACTGGACTGGGCAGGGCTTTTCAGTCTCAGAGAGTAAGGAGAGACACACCCACCCTCCAAGGAAAACATTAGAGTGAAGTATTTGTTTTCTTGCTTCACAAATGTAATATAATTCAACACTTTTTTGTAAAGAGTAAGACTTCAGGAAATTAATTGAAAAATTGGTATTATTTTAGGAAAGGAATTTAAGATATAATAGCAAAATGTACACAACATAAAAATGAATCCATCTTTTTAATTGTGTGTCACAGATATAATTATACAGTATCATTCATTAGTATTCATTACAGGCCAGATATGGTGCTGAGCACCTAAAAGCATTATCTAATTTCACTCTGAATAATCTAGGTATTAATAGCCCAATTTAATAGATGAGGAAAATTAGGTTTCTCTGAGAGGGCTAAGTAAATTGCTTGAGGTCACATTACCATTACAGGGTACAACTTATCTCTGACTCTGACTCCAAATTATGCCCTAAATTCTTCTCAATATGTTGCTATGGGATTAGATTGCTGTAATATATATTGCAGACTCTCTTAATTCAGTAGCACCTTGGGCAATTGTTTTTACCTAATTATCTTCGTTTGCACATTGTTGGAGTATTGAGAAATCATTATTTGCTGAAGTGACTTTCTCCTCTCATTCCAGCAAAGCACATTCACAGCAAACTCTTAAAACCCCATCGGTTAGATGCATATGGCTGGTGGACAGATTAGTATAGTTTGGAGATATGGAATAGTTCAAGTTATGGTAGTGAGCCAAATAAATCCACAAATTATATCACCCTCCTTGGTGAAACTGAGAAAACTAATATTAAAATTCAGATTTTCTCCCCATAAAAGCTAATACTGAAATTGCTGTCTCTCCCCTTGGTCTAATGAGAACCGGAATTCCATTAACAAAGCTACCTAGGCAGGACAGAATGTTTCATTTCTTGAGGTGCAACCTGTAGAAGCAGCCAGACACCTTCTAAAATTAAGAAAAACTTTCCACTAGAAAAGCACTGAGGAAAATGTTTCCTGAATGTATTACTTTTTCAGGTCCCGTGTCCATTTCCCATTTTGCTGGTAGCAATTTTTTTTTCTTTCTCTCCCTTTAGGAAATAATCTCCCTGGATTCTGCATGTCATTTTGGAGCTCACAGTGGTCAGACTACTCCAGACTCCCCATGACTCCAGCCAAGCAGCACAAGTGCATAAAATGACAGTGATAATTTGTCTCTGTGGTGGCGCTGGGAGGAGACTTGCATTACCTTCTGTTACCAGGCTGTTCTAGTTATCTTCCTGAGGTCTGTTGTTTCAACCTTTCCTTTGGTTCTCTGAGCGACTGATACTCATTCAACCCTTTTTTTCTTACTTAAGCTTCGTCTTTGTTGCTTGATAACCAAAAGCCCTGTCATATACAGTACTATTAAATATTTCAAGATATGTTTATACACACTGGGGAAAACGGCAAAGTTCTGTTCTTACAGTGGAAATTATTTCAAGTGTGTATCTACTTGACTTCATCTATGAAGAGGAACGTAGTACTGAGAAAAGACTTCTGATGACTTCAGGAGACTCTAGATGACTTCACCACCTGGGGCTTCATTCTCAGCTACAGAAAAGAGCTGGAAAACCCCCTATTCCATGACTTTCTCTTTCTGAGGGTTTCTCAGTCTCTGTCAAGTCAGGTGGGTCCCATGGCTGAGTCAGAAGCCACAGCGCCTCCTCCAGGAGAATGCTGTCCAGTACTGACTTCAGGGGAAATGAGCAGGCAAACACAGAGAACAGACTGCTTTAAAATTCTGTCTGCTTAGAAACAGAAGGTAGCAAACCCAGCCTCCAACGCAGAAGTTCAACTGTCTTTTCACTGCTGCACCCAGTGTCTGACACAGAAGGCCTCGTGTGGACCACTCTGGGACAGCTCAGGGAGCCGAGCGGATCCTACTGGCCTTGCTATCACATCGTATTACATTTAGGACATGGTGACATATCACTCCACATGCAGAGCAGGAGAGGTCTGCTATGAATACATGCTTAGGATGTAGTAGTGACAATGGGAAAAAGCACGGCTGCACATTTCAATCAGGATCTTCCCAAACCTTATTCTTTTTCCTTTGCTAGCGAGTCCACTTTCATTAACAGATGGGCAAAATTTATTATACACAAGAGAAATGGCTTAAGGGCACATGGAAGCACAGGCTTGTTGCCTGCCGCTGGGGTCACTTGATGTACTCTAAGAAATAAAGCTGTTAGAGTTGCTTTGATTGCTGCTTCATTTTATTCCTTTCGCTAAATCTCAGCAGACCCACAAAGAAGGTAATTGCCTTCCCAGCTCACTCAAGCACAACAGCATCCCCTGTGGCTGCGAGCAGGCTGGCCAGAGCTGGGAAGCTATTCTGTTTGTTCATTTAAATCAAACATTCCTTCTTTTACTTCTTGTGCTTTCGGACCTTCATATTCTGCAGGATCTCCAGCCCCTTTCCCAGCCCTGCATCCCAAAGTCAAACCCTGAGTTGAGATGTTACAACAAACACAGGCTGGGTCAGAAATCGCAGTTCTCAAAGGTTGTGTGTATGCCATCGGCCATGAACCTGCCTTTCAGAAAAGTGCTTTTGCAGAACCCAGAAGCCTTCCAGGACCTGGAAATGAGTTGCTTCCAGCACCACAGCTAGTACTTTAATGAATCCCCAAGGAACAGGAAATCAGAAGCTGCCCTAGAAAGCTGCTTAGCAGCTCAACTGAGCAGAATGATACATTGTTCTGCGGGAGATGCATGATAATAAGGGTGTAAAAAGGGGAAGGGAAGTGGGTCGCTATCGTTGTCATGTACTCTGTGTAAATATTTCTACTGTTCTGGTCCCCCTGCCTCTCTGCCGCCATTCCCATCAACAAGAGAAACAAGCTCTCACAGGGACAGATGCGGAACAGTGACCCGGGCTCTTTAGCAACCCCATCGCTGTTTGGGGACAGAAACCTCTACCTACCTGAGTTTTTGTCAGGCAGCCGGTTTATCCTCCACACAATGGCATTGAAGGCATGCTCATACTTGGCCGTTCCCAGAGTTACTCTCATGACGGGCTCAGAGCCAGAGATACTCGTTGAGCCAAAACTTGCCCCTCGGTTCACTTTGGCTTTCAAAGACTTTTCCCCTAGGACACTTTCCCTGCGGAAGTTTTTCACCCACTCGCTGGGCACTGGGTAACACACCATTACGTTCTCACAGGGAACCTGAGTGAGAGGGTCACGGTTGGAGGAGAAGCCGGTAGACATCCTCAACCAGCTCTGCACCTCCACTTCTGCCCCATTGATGCTTGCTGCTGTCCTGAGTGTGAAAGGCAAGGTCTTCTCAGCAAACACTGTCCTGAACCGCATTAGCTCAAACCGGCAAGCATCCAAAGGGTTGAAAAGAATAACCCGAGAACTGTTGAACACATCCTCATCCACGCACCCATGAAAACGACACTCGTGGAGTTTAATCCATTTGGTGGTAGTGGTGGGCATGATGTCTTGCCGAGACACGATTTCATTTCCTTTGATGAGAATGTCATTGAGTCCCAGTCGGCACTCTGCAAGCCCAGAAAGAAAGCTCAGAATGTGGATCCGAGTCAAGACTCGGTGCTGGAGAATCTGGTTGTCTCCTTTGCGTACAATGCCAGAGAATTCATCTCGGACATCCACTGTAATCTCCTCTTCAAGATAGTTCAAGCCAACTGTGCTCAAGTCCATTGACAATACTGGCAGATCCATGAGCCGGTCCTGAACTGCACGAATGAAGCTCAGGAAGTCGTCGTAATTGGTGGTGCCCAGCTTAATCACTTGTTCCCTCTCTGCTGTGTGGGCTACAGCAGGTTTAGGCTGATATTTCTTCTTCTCTTTGTAGATGACGCGATCTATCCGCAAGCTGTGGATCCTACCATTCTCATCATAGTTTTGAAGCCGGGGTTCGGAAACCTCATGGCAGATCTCCAGCTTGAACTCACGGAATGGTTTTTCTAGTCCCTGCTCATAATAGAGCTGCAGGTAACCACTGTCCGTCAGTTTGATGTAGATTGGTCCCCAGTGCCTGGAGGACATGATGTTTTTCTTCTCCGGGATCCTGAGCATCATTGGCCAGCCATCTCTGGGCTGAGTCAGTGCTGAGCTAGGTAGGTGAGCATCTAGTTCAATCCAGGCTATCGGGTCATCATCAGGTAGTACTGCACTGCTGACGTGATCAGGTTCATCGATCTGGAGTTGTTTGAGTTTTTCGACAGCATCAGAGTGGGACTTGGTTTTGCTTGAATCATCAAAACTGATGGCATCCTGGTAGATAACAATGAGGGAATCTCTTTGGCTTTTGCCTGTGGTACTGGAAATGGAACTTTTCTGGGAGCGCCTTTCCTGTTCCTCGAAGAAAGCACTGAAAGGGTTGATAGGGGAGGGTTGCACATCCTGGAGTGTCTCATTCAGGAAAGGATTGGTGGCCCTCCAAGGTGGTGCTTCAGTTGTGGGGGGTGGATGGTTTAAGGCGGAAATGTCTAGCTTCTGAACTTTGGAGAAGCTCATCAAAGAGCTCTTGGGACGATCCCTCTTGAATGACCCAGTGGAGTTAGAAGGTACAACTGGTGTCACAGGTGCCATCGGGAGCATTTTCGGCTTCAGAGGAGAGGTGACTGGTGGCAAAGGACAGCTGACTTCATTGTCATCAAAAGTGACCCAGCTGGGGAAACGAGCGGCTGTCCCTGGAGGGGCAGGGTGCCCATTCATGGGTGGACTGCTGGTGTGCCAGCTGATGGCTTCCATCTCTACCTCTTCATCTTCCTGGAGTGAGGAAGAATTGTCTGCAAGGAAAAGGAGAACACATCAGGGCCTGCCGTTCAGAGTTGGGGGAAGCTGAAGTAGGGTAACGAGGAATAGTAGAAAAATTTATCTAGAATTCGGTAATTCCAAAGTAACTCATTATCTGTCGCAAGAACTTGGTCTATGTACAGAGCTCGTAATTTTGTAGTAAGACATGAAAAGGACCATCACACTGAATACAACAATAATACAAAAGAGATTTCCTGTATTTATTCCTAAAGTATGTATTCTTGAGTTTTAAACATTGAAAACTACCTCCTAAAGTAATATAAACTTTAAACAAGTTATTCTGTCAGTGAGAATGAAAGTATACTATACAAATAATATATGCCTAAATATTCTAGCCCAAATATGATCCATAAATATAAAGACAAAATGCTAACACCCTTAATATGTGTGTAAGTTCATGCAAGTGAATCATAAATACACAAAATTTCCAACAGAAATATGGGCAAAGTCCATAAACAAATAATTTATGAAAGAGAAACTAAAAAAAGTCTAATAAAATGTGAAATATATGCAATCTTAGTAGTAATATGAAAAATAAAAATTAGACCAAATAAGATCAGTGAAGATTTGAAAAGTTTTCCATATTCAATAAAGGTAAGAGCTCCATGGAACACGACTGGAACACTAAACAGACCCTCCGGGGAAGACACTGTTACAAATGCTCTGAAAACAGCTCTCGTAATTTAGATTATTGGTCTTAACAGATGTTCATAAACAATGATTCAACCATTCAGCCCAAAAGAAATAAATTAAATTGTTAGCAGAGTTTGAAAAAATAAAGATGCTCATTCTAGCATTATGTATAATAGGGAAAAATTAAGTGAGCGTTTTCAAACATCCAACAGTTAGATGATGTTAAGAACTTGAGGCACACGATGGAATAACACCCAGCCATTAAAATGTTTGTGTTTGCGCTACCACGAGAAAATGTTCTATCTATAAGCTCTTCTTTTTTTCTCTAAAATTCCCACCTTGGGGTTTATTTTAGTATACAAAAAAAAGTTATTACCAATAAAACTCTACTGTGCCAGTGTCTTCAAGAAAGGCAATGCTACCTTTAAGTCTTTGTGAGGGAACAATCCCAACTTTTTCAGTAGTGTAAGGACCCTGGGTATCTGCACTGGTTTGGGAAGGGTGGGGAAAATGCGGCTGTTAGCAAGGAGCAAGGATTCTGATGAAGGTTTGACCCAGGTATACAGTAGACACTGAGTAAAGGTTGTTGATCGAGAAAAGAAACTTTGCTTTGGAGGAGCTCGCCTATTTCCATGTCCCTGGGGGAAATACGGATGGGGTTCTCTACCACCATCTTACCCACTGTTTCTACTGCCAGGTATTCGGAATCAAACGCAAATGGATACTGAAAAAAATGTGTATTTGCCTCAGTGATATCACCCATAGTTACACATGTAATCATGCATGGATGGGTGATTGGCTTGTCATCTGTCCTTCCATCACCTTGATTCAAACAGCAATTCCTTTAAGAGCATCGTTTTGAGCAGGTAGGCTAAATGCATGACTATATCTACACATGTATCCACATTTACCTAAACACACGAAGAGCAAAAGTACTTTCTACACGCGCAGCACTAACCAAAGGACTTCGAGGCACTTACAAATTAAAGGTAAGAGTCGCTTTCAAATTCACTTTTGTACATGTATGATTTCTATTCTGGGACATGAAGGGGAAAGGATCAGACAACAAATCAGGTTCACAGTATTTATACTTCATATGTTTCTATTAGTAATGGAACCTAAGGGGACATTGTGACCCTGAGCAAAACATAATTATCTCCTTGGAATCACAATTCATCCTCTCTGGAGACCTGGAAAAGGGATGCGTCTCAGAATTCACCGGCTCCTGCTGGGGTAGCTCTAAGGCCTTTGGTAGGGCAATGTTTCTACCCAAACAGTGCCCTGCTGGCCCCCTGCTACAAAGCCTTCCTTCCAACCTTGGAGCTTACCAAACCCTGGTGTAAAAGCAAGCTGAACTCTTCCTTGGGAGAGTAGCCTTCTGCCAAGGGATTCCCTTCTGTTGGGAATCTTGTCTTCAAATTAGCATTTTGTCTCATCTTCTAAACCAAAAATAAAACAATGCAGAAAAAGGCTTTTGTCTCTACTGAAGAGCACTTTTTTCTTGTTTATTTAAAAATCACACCAAACTCTTGACAGTTTTGTAACATTAAACTCATAATACAATTTAGGTGAAATATCTTTACATTTTTAAGAATCAGATGATCGGGGCTGGAGATTTAGCTCAGCGGCATAAGCGCCTGCCCTGCAAGCAGGCAGTCGTGAGTTCGATCCCCGGTACCGATAAAAAGGAAAAAGACAAAAAAAAAAAACAAAGAATCAGATGATCATTTTGAGAGAAATTATTTGTATCATTTCTTGCTGTTTAATGCTTTAGCACATAAGATGCGGAATTGCCGTTAAAAATATCTTTAAATTTTGAAGGAAAAATTCATTAATTCACAGAAATTCTATTTTCTCTTGGTCAGCCATTAAAAAACATCAAAAGATTGTTTCAAAATTCTGTCTACTGGCAGTTTCATGTTCCATAACTACAAAGCCTATCATCTGGAGGCTGGGGATTTAGCTCAGCGGCATAAGCGCCTTGCAAGCAGGTAGTCGTGAGTTCAATCCCTGGTACCGATAAAAAAAAAAGAAAAGAAAAGAAAAGAAAAGAAACCTGACATTTAAAAAAAAAAAAAGCTTATCCTCTGATTACTAGTGGAACATAGGTTAAGTTTTTGAAATTGAAATTTGTTTTTCCACAAAAACATGTATAAAGGAAAAATATTTCAATAACATAACAGGACTGAGGATGTGGCTCAGTGGTAGAATGTTTGCCTAGGACATGCTAGGCCCTGTGTTCAATCCCTAGCTCTGGGAAAAAAATCTAAAAAGAAAAAAGAAAGGAATAACCACTAACACAAGAACCCCCATAGGGCTGGGGACTTAGCTCAGCAGCATAAGCGCCTGCCTTGCAAACGCCCAGTTGTGAGTTTTATCCCCAGTACCAACAAAACAAACAAAAGCCATACTTTTACAGAAGAAAACCAACAGTGGTCCAGGGTTCCCAAAAATAAAGCATTTCTTTTTATTTTTTATTTATCGGTGCCAGGGATCGAACTCATGTCTGCACGCTTACAAGGCAGGCGCTTATGCTGCTGAGCTAAATCCCCAGTCCCCTAAGAAAGCATTTCTTGAGGTGAATCTAGCACCTGTGAAATATTACTTGCAAACGCAATCCCTTAATGATGTTGGTTTCCTTATTATGAACTCTTAATTTTGCTTCTTTTCTCACCTGACACAGAGACTTCTTCCATTGTTTTTATAATGGTTGGGTCTTGTATATTGAGTCTCTTTTTAGTAGAGGATTACTTTGGATTTTTGTTGTTGTTGTTTTTGGTACTGGGGATTCAACTCATGACCTCACATTTGCTTGGCAGGCACTTGTGCTGCTGAGCTAACCCCCCCCCCAAACTTTCGTGTATATAAAATTCATCTGTAAATAAATTTTCTGAGCATAAATATTTGAATTTTATGCAACAGTTTATTTCTTTAATAAATGAGTGCTTCCTTAATAAAATGAATACATCCTCATAAATAAATAGGATAAGGAGAATGAAAAATTAATGAATATCTAATAACAGAGAGAAACAGATTAACTTTATAAAACAGTAAAATGCCATTATCCCCATAACAGAGGGACAAAGATTTTGAATAAATAATAGCCACTGTTGATAACAAGTGGGGAAATTTACATTCTACTGGAGGTGTTCAAATTTTTTCCTGAGGCCAATTTGAAAAGTTATACACAAAAAGTTTTGTACTGGGGATCAAACTCACGACGAGCATAAGGCAGTGTTTATGCTGCTGAGCTAAATCCCCAGACCTGTACACAAGTTTTAAAAAGTGACTCAAGAGTTCTTACAGGACTTTTTTCTAAGCAAACAATAAGATAAGCATGTAACGATGTATACAATGGATGTTTATCATGGCAATGTTCGCATCACTGAAAAATTAGAAATAACCTAAATGTTCAACAATGGGATACTGGTTGTACAATAGAATCCCATCAAGGCAATATTTCTGAGCATGTTTATTCACATGGAAGTTGACCATGATATGCTGTTGAGTGAGTAATACCAAGCAAGAACCTATAATCTGCATTCAGACAGCCTGGGTTTCAGGGCAGCTTACTAGCTAAGTAACTCTGGTTAAGTTTTTAATTTCTCTGTCACAGTTTTCCTATCAATGAATTTAGGAAAATATTAAGTCCTACTTGAAAGGAAACTAATAAAAGTTAAGTGGACGTAGGCTGCTCTTCTAACTACTAGGATGTCATATTTCATTAGTACACATGTGTGAACACTGGAATGTAATACTTCATTATGTTTTCATGTTGAAAAACGAATGTCTCATGTGCAGTAACGGGTAAACTGAAAAAATTAAAACTGTGCCAGAAGTACATGTCTGTAATCCCAGGTACTAACAAGGCTGAAGCATGAGGATTCCAATTGAAGGCCAGCCTGTATCACTTAGCAAGACTCGGTTTCAAATTAAAAAACTTTTTAATGGGACTGGAGATGTAGCTTAGCATTCCCTGGGTTTAATCTCCAGTACCTCCCTCTCCCTCAAAAGAGTATCTATATTCTTCCTTTATAAAGACAATGCTATATTGCTCACAAAATAAAGTTCAACATGTACCTTGACAGCAAATATTAATTCATCTTAAAGAAAGGATGCAAACAGCTTAGCTATACTTTATGTTGAGAAAGCAGCCATTAGATCTTTCCTGCAACAGTTATGGCTATCAGCTCTAGAAACAATGATAGGGAATAAAAGGCCGGCAGTCTCCCCAGTAAAAAAAAAAAAAAAAAAAACAGCAGAAGTTAACTATCTTGAACACGAAGTTAAGTATTATCCACAATTCCATTTTATTGACTTATTAAAATAAAACCATAGC